TCCAGTATGGGCGCGACACTGAGGGTTGCGGTCCGTTGCCGGACACAAAAAAAGACAAAAAGGAAAAAAAAAAAAAAGTGGATATGCATATGCAGGAGAATAAAACTAGACCCATACCTCTCACCATATACCAAAATCAACTCAAAATGGATTAAAGAATTAAATATATACCCTGAAACAATAAAACTCCTTAAACAAAACATAAGGAAAACACTCAAGAAAGTATGATTGGGTACAGACTTCATAAATACGACACCAAAAGCACAGACTACCGGAGGAAAAATAAAGAAGTGGGATTATATCAAATTAAAAACTTCTGCACTGCAAAAGAAACAATTAACGGAGTTAAAAGACAACCAACAGAGTGGGAGAAAATATTTGCAAAATATACATCTGACAAAGGATTAATATCCAGAATATACAAGGAACTCAAACAACTTTACAGCAAAAAAAACAAGTAAACCAATTAAAAGTGGGCAAAGGAGCTGAATAGGCATTTCTGAAAAGAAGATATACTAATGGCTAGCAGATACATGAAAAAATGCTCACCATAACTCAGCATTTAAAAAATGCAAATCAAAACTGCACTGAGATACCATTTTGCTCCAGTTAGGATGGCTAATATCCAAAAGACTGAAAATGATAAATGCTGACCAGGTTGCAGAGAAAAAGGAACCCTCCTACACTGTTGATGGGACCTCAAAATGGTGCAGCCCTTATGGAAAATGCTTTTGAGTTTCCTCAAACAATTGCAGATAGATCTGCCATATGACCCAGCTATTCCACTGCTGGGAATATACCCAGAGGAATGGAAATCATCATGTCAAAGGGATACTTGTACTTCAATGTTTATTGCAGCACTATTTAAAATAGCCAATAGTTGGAACCAGCCCAAGTGTCCATCATGAGATGAGTGGATATGGAAAATGTGGTATATCTACACAATGGAATTCTACTCTGCTATAAAAAAGAATAAAATACTACCATTTGCAACTACGTGGATGGACTTAGAAAAAATTATATTAAGTGAAATAAGTCAGGCACGGAAAGAGAAATACCACATGTTCTCACTTATTTGTGGAAGCTAAAAATAAATAAATACAAAAACAAATGGGGTTTGCGGAAGAAGACACAACAATCACAATTCCTTGAACTTGTTAAGACAAGTGAACAGATATGATGTTGATGGGTGTGGGAGGGAGAGGGAGGGGGAAAGGAGGAACCAGTAAAGTGACACCAGAATCAACTACATTGTATATTCATAAAATTTTTAAAAAATTAACAATCCTTCTCAAACTAGTCCAATAAAATAAAGAGAATACTTCCAAATTCATTCGAAGAGGTCAGAATTACCCTAATGCCAAATAGACAAAGATACTAGAAGAAAACTACAGACGAATATCCTTGATGAAAACTAATGTAAAAATCCTAAACAAAAGACTAGCAAACTGAAATCAACAAAATATTAAAAGATTATACATTACGATCAAGTGAAAGTTATTCCTGTAATGCCAGGATGGTTCAACATATAAAATCAATCAATTAAGAGAATGAAGAGGGCCGGCCCGGTGGCGCACTGGATAGTGCGCCGCTTGGGAAGCGCGGCGGCGCTCCCGTCCGAGGGTTCGGATCCCACATACAGAACGGCTCCCGCTCACTGGCTGAGCAAGGCGCGGGAGCAGCGCACCGAGGCTTTCGATCCCGTTGCCGGTCCCCGGTCCGGTACGGGGGCAACACTGAGGGTTG